GTTGATGAATGAACGTGATTCTCTTGGCATAGTTGCGCCAAGAGCGGTTAGATTGCATAATCTAAATTGCGTGTATTAAAATCGCTACGTGTTTCGAATCGCTCGACGATTCAACGAATCGATATCGAGAAGAAGAAACGAAAAATTTCCTACGAACGTTAATCAATTTTCCAATCGATTCGTCCTGCGAAATTGATTATATTCGAAACACGCGCGTTTAAATTATATTTGTTCGTATCCAAGATGGCGTGCTCCGTTATACCGGTTGCGTGTTCAAGGAGCATTCGTCGTTTCTTTTTTTTTTTTTTTAATAAAAATTACAAGTGTATTATGGTCGTTTAAAGTTGTTGTTGTATCTCGTCTTACGAGGGGATTAAAGAAAATTTTTTTTTTTTTTTAATCTCGAAATCTCTTCCCATAGATCCATAGGAGAAGATTTATTGCAAGATTTATTATCATTGTTTTCTCGTTTAAGATTGAAATTAAATATCGTTGGATAGGCAAGAGCAAAAGAATCGAGTGAATTGTTCGTCGTATCGTGAATAAAACTGTCGAGAAGGTGATTAAGTAAGCGGTCATGGTTGCGTTCAGCATCTTACTATGTATCGTCCCGAGTGAAAACTTTCCTGCTCGGCTCTCCTCTCCCCCCGGCCTAAGTACCTCATTTGTACTTCCATTATCTTGGCACGGTGCGCCATCGTTGAGAATGGAACAATGGCGAACGAACATTTCCAATGTTTATTCTTTCCTTCCTTCCTTCCTTCCTTCCTTCCTTTCTTCCTTTCTTTCTTTCTTTCTTTCTTTTCTTTTCTTTCCTTTAAAAAAGTAAATACTGAAAATGCTTTTTAATATTCGATAACTTTTCTACCTCCCGAGTTACTCGAATCTTTGGAAACTTTCCAAACACGGTTCGTTTAAAGTTCCAAAGTAATATCTGTTGCATTCGCGAGGAAAAATATACAATACAAAGGAAAGAAGGATATTTACTTTCTTTTACATCGCGATATACATATATCAATCTAATGTTTATATCGTTTCGTCGTACACCTAACGTAATGACGAGCAAACAGTAGTTGTATTCCCCCCACCCCTGTCCCCAGTAGTCGTCCAGTATTCCGATAAATCATCGTGATACATGTCGATGGATGACGAATGCTCCCGAATGCCCGGCC